TTTATACATAGGATGTTTTTCGTGCTGTAAGTTAATTGTTTTTAAAATTTAAAATATAATCTTTTTTACTAGTAAATCTTATTTAGTTTACATTTACATAGTTGTAAGTATATGGATACGTGTTATTTCACTGACAATCACTTCACCGACAGCTTAGTTCACCAATAGTTAATTCACAGATAAGTTTATTTCACCAACAATTAACTTACTGACAAGTTCATTTCACTGACAATTATTTCACTGACAGCTCATTTCACCGACAAGTATTTTTTATAAATTATACTAACCTTAACTCTAATTCTATCCTGAAACTAACAACAATGACCAATTACTTTGTCGGTGAAATGAGCTTCAGCGAAATAATTGTCGGCAAAATGAACTTGTTGGTAAGTTGATTGTTGGTGAAATGAACTTGTCTGTGAATTAATTGTCGGTGAAGTATTGTCTGCAAAATGCACACCACCTGATAAAACAAATGCTATAATTTTGTGGTCCATATTATTTCACCAACAATCACTTCATAGACACAACATTTCACCAACAAATTATTAATCGACAAGTTTATTTTACTAACAGTCTATTTTACTGAGGCTAATTTTACTGACAAGTTTTTTTTTATAAATTATACTAACTTTAACTCTAATTCTAACCTAACCCTAATAATATTAACCAGAGTTACATTGTCTGTAAAATGAGCTTTGGTAAAATAAACTGTCTGTAACATAAACTTGTTGGTCAGTAAAATATGGTGTCTACGAAGTGATTGTAAGTGAGTTAACCAGATCCCATAAATTTCTATATAAAATTCTTGCTTTATTTTTTATTAGATATGTGTTATTTTATTGACAATCACTTCACCAACAGCTTAGTTCATAAACAATTAATTTACCAATAAGATCATTTCATCAACAATTAACTTACCAGTAAGTTTATTTTACTACAATTATTTCAATAATAGTTTATTTTACCGACAAGTATTTTTTATAAATTACACTAACCTTACACTAATAACAATAACTAGAATTACTTTGTTAGTAAAATAAGCTGTCAGTGAAATAATAGTTAGTTAATTAAACTTGTTGGTAAGTTAATTATTGGTAAAATGAACTTGTCTATAAATTAATTGTTAGTAAACTAAACTATTAATGAAGTGATTGTTGGTAAAATGTGTATTATCTGTTTATATATAGTTATTTAAAAAACAAATTTTAATTAGTTTAATTTAAAATTATTTAGAATATGTCTCAAGCAAATAAAAAATCTGGAGGTAGACCACCTGCAAGTCTTTGGGATGTTCATATTAAAAAAGGAAATGAAGTTTCTAAAGGACATTATCAAGGGACTTGCAATTATTGTTCTTATTCTCAGCAAAAAGGATCTCCTCAAGATTTTGAAGAACATTTGGCTAACAATTGTCCTAATGTTCCAAGTGATGTTAAGCAAATATATTTAAACAAGGTTTTGACAAGATTTAAAAATCCAAGACAAGGATCTATTAAAAATGTTCAAACAAAAATATCTGATTTTAATGAAAGTTCTAAACTTACATTAGAAAGAACTAATGAAATTAATAAAGCTTGTATTAAAGCTTTTGTTATATGTGGTATATCATGGAGAGTAATTAATAATCCATTTTTTATTGATTTTTTAAAAACATTACGACCAGGATATAATCCACCCTCTTCTGAAGTTCTTTCAGGACGTATTTTTTCTCAAGAAGTATCATCAATTAATGTAAAAATTATTCAAAAGTTAAATTATTCTAAAAATTTAACTTTAGGTAAGATTTTTATTTTATTACAATAAATTTAATTAAACAATTACTATTTATATGCTAGTATATATATATATGGAGGTATTAAAAATTTTAATTATAAAATTGTCTTTGGCTTATAGTAAAATTTTGATAAAATTTAATCTTTATCTTAATTCCAAATCTTATTCTTACTTTACTATAAGTAAAGATTTAATTTTTTATTTATAAAAATTTTAATTAGCATGCTATACAGATTTACAAAATAATATATATATATATATAATATGCAATGAATTTTTTTATTTGTATTATTTTAATATATTAACAAATTTATATTTGTAGCATGTGATGGTTGGACAAATTTATCAAATGAATCAATTTGGGGTTTTCTTATTTATACACCAGATCATTGTGAATATTTATGGAGTTTAATAGATTTATCAGCTCAAAGTCATACTGCAAGTTTAATTGCTGAAGAACTAGAAAAAATAATTGAAATAATTGGTAGTGATAAATTTTCAGCAATAGTATCTGATGCAGGATCAAATGTTCAAAATGCACGAGAAATTATTTCAACAAAATATAAGCATATATTAAATATTCGTTGTATAGCACATGCTATAAATCTAATTTCAAAAGATATTTGCAATTTATCTTTTGCAAATAAAATTTTAACTAAATGCAATGCACTTGTAACTTTTTTTAAAAAAAGTCATCAAGCAGGTATATAATTTACAAATTTTATTTTAATAATTTATATAATTAATAAATTTTTATATAGGTGCAAGATTAAGAGAAGAAGCAAACAGACTTAATATTTCTGGTGGAGGTTTAAAACAATATGTTAATACAAGATGGTATACTATGTATGATTGTGTTAATTCTATTCTTAATCATAAAGAAGCATTAGAAAATGTAAGTTTTTT